GAGCCGCGTGCCACGGCATCTCGCCCCGCGACCAGTGCCGCAGCACCGCCAGCGCCGCGGCGTCGTTGTCTGCAGCGCCGACGCGAGCGGCGTAGCGCGAGACGAAGTCGGCCTCGTCGGTGAAGGAGGCGATCTGCAGGTGGCGCAGCAGCGGCCGCCTCGCGCACCGCTCCACGATACTCCCGACGCTCAGGAGAGGCTGCGGGAGCGCCTCTGCCGGCGCGCGGCGCAGCAGCAGGTCGTTGACGCCGAGCGAGCCGGCGAGGGACTGGAGGCGCGCCGGACGGTCGAGCCAGTCGAGCGCGCCGCCGCCGCGCTCCGCCTGCGCGCGCACCACCCGCAGCAGCGCGCGCTTCCCCACCCCATCGAACCCGACCACGCCCACGCGCAGCGTCCCTGCCGCCGCGCCGGCCTGCGCGCGCAGCACGCTGAGGAGGGCGTCGAGCCCGTGGGGAGGGGAGCCCTCGGGCAGGGCGAGCGGCAGGGCCGGGGCGCGGCCGCGCAGCCACTCGAGCCTTTGCCCAGGGGCCCCGCGCCGCCGCCTCCGGCACCGCGTCCGCCCGGCTGAGGACGAGGAGGTACGGCTTGCCGCAGTCGCGCAGCGCAGCCTCGAGCGGCTCGCAGCGGCAGGCGGCGGGGTCGCGCGCGTCGAGGAGGATGAGGACGAGCCCCGCGTCGGCGAGCACCTCGTGCAGCGGCGAGAAGGCGGCCGCGCGCCGCTTGGCGGTGCGCCGCTCGCGCGCCGCTTCATGCGACGCCGCGGCGGCCGCCTCTTCGGCGCGCTTGGCGGCGGCGCGCTCGGCGCGCTTGAACTCGCGGGCGGCCGCCTGCGCGGCGAGCTGCGCCTCGCGCTGGGCCTGCTGCTCCGCGATGAGCTGCGCCTTGAAGGGCCACGAGGCCGGGATGCCCGGGTCCTTCTTCTTCCGGCCCGCCTTGCCGACGCCCCGCCGAGCATCGCGCCGCTGCTTGCGGTGGTGCTCGCGGACCTTGCGCTCGATCTTGTGCTTGTCGTGCAGCGTCGTCCGCTTCGTCTTGCGCGACTTGAGCACCTTGCCGGGATTGACCATGGCTAAGCGACCGGCGACGAGGAGGCTGTAGGAGTGTGACGTGATTTTTTTTGACTTCGCCTTCGTTGTTAATAGTACAAACCCAATGGTCCTCTGCGAGCGGTCCTTCGTTGCAGTCGCGCACGCGACAGCATTGACTTGTGCAACGTACTCTACTTGGCGCACCACTCCAAGTCAACTCTAGTGTTGTTGAAAAAGAAAGAAAGAAAACAGACAACCCAAGCAAGATAGTGTTGGATAGTGTTGTTGAAAAAAAATTGAGAGCTAATTACATATTTTTTTTGAGCTAGACTTCGTTGTTAATAGGTTCAAACTGCCCGTCAGGGCTTCGCTCCAGAATGAGTGGGCGGTGCACGGCTGTCAGTTTACAGGCGCTGTCGGCGGCTGACGGCTGCGGCGAACGGCGACGGCTCGGTTCGCGTTCGCTCCACTCGGCGCCAGGTCGAACGGCGGTCGGCTCGGCCACTGCGGGGCGACGCATGATAGAGCATGCTGGGCGCCGCATCATCTACTACCGCTCCACGCCAAGGCGCGGGCGGCGGTGCTCGCCGGCGCTCGCGGGGCTTCGGTGCTCGGGCGCGCTCACCATGTGGTCGTTCAGGGCGGCTTGCACAGCGCCTGCACACACACACACACACACACACACACACACACACACACACACACACACACACACACACACACACACACACACACATGCACATGCACGCACACACACATGCACAGACACACAGCCCCTTCCCCTTCCCCCTCAAGACCGCAAGGGCGAGGACACGCGTAGGCCGCACCTCTAGCGTAGCCCACAGAGTGGGAGACTCCTAATACCGCCCCTGCCACCCACGGCGTGAGCCTTGGCCGCCTCTGTCAGTGTGCCCGTGATAGGAGAGACTGCCAGTGAGAAGCCGGAGGAAGGTCGCTAGTCGAGAGAGATCGCCAGTGGAATAGGGAGTCCACCGTGCTGCGAACCTGTCGCTGTCCCTTTTGTCAGTAGCAGGAGAACTAGGAGAGCGCAACCAGTAGGAGGCCCGCGCCTGCCCCCGGTGCCGCCGGGTGCAACCTGTCCTATACGAGAGGGGAATCCCTGGGACCCTGTCGTGTGTGGGTGAACCCTGCCCAGCCCCCCTCCGTGTCGCGATGCGCTCCCCGCTCCCGTTCCCCTGTGTCCCTGATCGTCATTTGGGGCCTGGAGCCCCTGCAGACTGATCTTTATGGTGGTTTAAAGTTTGCGGGGGGGGGGGGGGGGGACAGCTTTGTGGGCGGTCGAATTCAATTTGGGGTGTGTGGACGACTGTTTTGGGGATCCTGCCGACGCGCTACAGTTGTAGCCCGACTGCACATAAGATGGACACCTCAACGGGAGGGCCCTCGCAGCAGCCGGGGCCGACTCCTGCAGCCTTAGTCTTGGCTCGATCCGGCGGCATGCCACGGGTAGGCGCGTTGAGGCTTGCCGCCTCCTCTGCGCCAACGCGGCTACCTTGTGCCGCAGCTTGCGTTTGCTGCCAGACAAGAGGAGGATCAGGGCCGTTTGGCGATAGGGCCAGGCAATCGCATTCGCCCGGTGGGCGTTGCGGACTCGAGCATCACCCGGGTCGAGGTTGCTGCGCCTCTTGGCGCAGTGCCGCAGCATCGCACGCTTGTGCCCTGTTCACGCGCGCGCGAGACGTGCAGACAGGGTTGCCAGGTGAGAGCGAATGGCGCGGTTCACGCCTCGCACAACAGAGAGAGAGAGATGCGCTCTGCATGGTGGGACATAAAAGAGAGCGAGTACTTGGGCGAGTAGGCCGTGCGGTCAACGCTGCCGCGCGCAACCTTGCGGCTTGCGCGCGGCGGTGCAGCTTGAGAACGGCGGTGGGCGAGAAGCCGCCGCCGACGTCTCGTGGAGCAGCAGGTTGAAGTTGTTGCGCTTGACAAAGATCGCGTCGTGGTAGAAACCGCGATGCGCCTTGACGTAGCCGTGGCCGCGGTCTTGTGGGAGAAGGGTTGGCCGGGCTGCCCGCGCGCCTTGCAGCCCATGTTCAGGCGGCGGGCCTTCTCTTCGGTGTTGCCAAAGGCGTAGGAGTGGCCAACGGAGGCGGGTGTGCCGCCACTCGAGGCGTTGCCAACGCCCGTCGAGGAGGTCTTGAGGAGGGGCGTCCAGAGCTTGATTTCATTCACTTCATCGCACCCTCCCGGCCCCGCATGGGGTTCTGCGAGGTCAGTCTTGTACCCCTCGTTGTACTGCCGGGTGAGCTCTGGTTTCTCCTTGTCGCCGTGCACGACCGGCGCGTTGGCCGGGGCGCGCATCGCGTCCGCCCAGGCGGCGAGGACGCCGTCGTGGGGCCGCCGCCCGGCGCCCCCTCAAGGTCTGCTGATCCCCACAGACCCTGCCGTGGGTGCTTGATCCTGAGGCGCCCCCCCGCCGGTGCTGTGATCCTGAGAGGGGTGTCTGAGATCCTGAGAGAGGCTTATCTGGCCGCCCGGTGGTGGGCCTTGTTGTAAAGGTAGTCCGCCGAAGAAATCGACTGGCATGCCCCGCTCGAGCGCGACCCGAAGGGTGGGAAGCGCCGCGGAGAGCCAAAGGCCGAGCTTCCGCTGGAGCTCGTCCTGGAGGGTGTCGGAGGAGAGGGCGGTGGCGTACGTACCGTCGACACGGACATTGAGGGCCTTGCCGGCGAAAGGCGTTGAGGCGGAGACGAGGCGCGTGGCTTCGCGGTTGTTGACGGCGCTGTCTCCGAGAGACGGGTTGTTCTTGACGTGCACATCCCGCGCCTTGACGAGCTCCAGGAGCGCGAACCAGTCCTTGTGATTCTTGATGGCAGCGAGCGCCCGCGGCCGCGGGTACGTGGATTTGCAAGTGCCATTGAGAATCGCGTCGGTAGAAGCTGGAAGGGACTCGGGCTCGGGGAGCGGGACGCTCTTGGCACTTGGGGTAGAACTCAGTCAGGTAGCCGCCGCGGACGGTGTAGTACTTATTTTTGTCGCGGGCGGTGCGCTTCTCGCACACCTCCTTCCAGTCCGAGAGGGTGGACTCGTAGGTGGCGATAGCTGCGGCGATGGCGGGGTACTTGGACGCACCTCCCTCGTCGAGGGCGAAGTCGGGGTTGTGGGCGACGAGGGTGCGCCAGTTCTTGAGGAGCGACATGGAGAAGTCGCTGTCGGCTCGCGAGAAGGCGGTGTCGATGTTGCACCCGCCCATCTCGGTCGGCAGCTGTGCGTTTGTTTGTCGGGGTCTGCCTGTCGGGTTGTCGCCCTATGCTCTATTTATTTACTGTGTTTCGGGAAGAGAGATAGGAAGAGGCAGACGCCCATCTCCTTAAAATCCCTGTGTGGTGGCGGCGTGCCGCAGCTGGCGTGCCGTCCTCCCATGTCCCTCCCTTGAGGTGTCGGGTTTCTTTCTTTTTTGTGTTTCGCCTTCGTATCAATCATCAATCCTTGGTGCCTTGATCTCCCACCCCTCCTTTGGCGTGTGCGTTAGCCCTGTTCACGCGCGCGCGAGACGTGCAGACAGGGTTGCCTCCCTCTCTCTCCGGCTGCGCGCATGACCGGTGCTGACCGGTGCGGCCTCCGAGTCGGCGTCTAGCGCCCGCGCGCGATAGGGTTTTTGCTTGCCTTCCCTGGGACCCCGTGTTGCATGTCTGACTGTCACTGTGCGATTTCGTGGCCAGTCAGAGAGATGAGAGTTTGGCAGCACTTGGAGCACTTGGAGTGCAGTCATTAACCTCACATCCAGGGCCGGGGAGCTAAGAAGCGCACCCAGCGGGCCGGATGATCGGTATCGGGCTACGGGCAAGAGAGCCCTGACCCCTAAGGGGGGGTGCGCGTTCGCAGGGGAAGGGCCTTAAAGTAAACACGGGTCTCCGAGGGTTAGCCCCGCGTACCGGGTTTCCCCTTAACTGCAGGACGCCCCCTCTACTCGGAGCTAATGAACACCACACTGCACGCCCCACACCACCACTCTGCACTCACTTGCGCACGCACGCACTTGGAGCACTTGGAGTGCAGTCATCAACCGGGCGGCGGCGGCGCGCATTTCTCAAAATTCTAAAGCTTGGCGGTCGACCCCACCTCGGCTTCTCGCTGCACGCGTCGGCGTCGGCGGCCGCGCGTTTCCTGAGCGCATTGGACCTCCTCCTCCGCATGGCGCCGCCGTCCTCCTCCTCCGACCCGACCCAGCGCCTCGCGCCTGCGCGGGAGCGGCCGGCTCCCGACGCCGCGCCAGACTTTGAGTCGTACGAGTACGTCGGCGCCGCGTCCCAGCTGCGGCACGAGGCGCAGAGCAGCCACACTACCGACCAGGAGCGAGTGATGCTGCTGCTCAACACGACGCTCGCGCCCCTCGTGCTCGGCGTCCTGATCGGGCGAGCCCGGCCCCGCCGCACCAGCGAGGCGCCCTCTCCACTCGCGCGAGCGGCCGGGGCTCACCTCTTCCGGCTCCCGCGCCCTTCACCAGGGCCACCGCCTATGTGTCCAACGCCTGCGCCGAGCTGCTGCTGCGAGCCAAGTGGGGCATCACCTTCTGGCTGCTCAGCTTCCCGTTTGGCGCCATCCTGGCGTACCCGCTCTTCACCGCGCTCTGCGTCGCGCTCGCGGCGGGCGCGGCGGCCGTCTCGCTCTGGGCGCCGGCCGCGTGTGGCTCCGGCATCCCGATGGTCAAGGCGTCCCGCACCCCAGTCCACACAGCGGGAGAGGCTGGCACCCGGTCAAGGCCGCGAGACGCCTCCGCCGCCACACCAGCCCCTCGCCCACCCCCGCCCTCGTCCACCCTCGCCCTCGCCCTCGCCCTCACCCGCGCGCCGCCCGGCCCCTCCTCAGGTGGAGCTCAACGGGGTGCGCGTGCCCGGCGCGCTCTCCGCCCGCACTCTCCTCGTCAAGCTCGCCGGCATCACCCTCGTCGTCGCCTCCGGCCTGCCCTGCGGCCGCGAGGGGCCGATGGTCCAGCTCGGCGCCGGCATCGGGCGGCTCGTGCTGCGGCGCGGCCGAGCCGGCGGCCCCTCCCCCTCCGCACGAGCCTCCGCCCGAGGGCGGCCCGCGCCCCCTCCTGCAGGTGGCAGAGCAGGCTGCTCTCTCTCTCCTGCTGCACCTCGGCCGCGGCGCAGGCCCGCCGCTCAGCCGCCTCTCCCTCCTCCCTCCCTCCTCTCCCTCCCTCCTCTCCCTCCCGCCCAGCACTCCCGCCCCTCCCTCCCCACCTCTCCCTCCCCACCTCTCCCTCCCCGCCCCTCCCTCCCCGCCTCTCCCTCCCGCCCCTCCCGCCGGCGAGCCGCGAGCTGCGAAGAGGCGCCGCCCCACGCCCCTCCCCCACCTAGCACAGGTTCGCATCCTCGACGGCGACCGCCACCTTCGCGACCTCGTCTCGATGGGCGCCGCCGCGGGCGTCGCCGCCGCCTTCAACGCGCCGATCGGCGGCGTCCTCTTCTCGCTCGAGGAGGTGAGCACGCACTGGAGCCAGTCGCTCACGTGGCGCGCCTTCTTCGCCGCCATCGTCGCGGCGCTCTCCGTCGCGTGGCTCTTCTCGGGCCTCTGGACCGGCATCATCGCCTCCGAGGGCCCGCCGGTCCTCATCCCGAACTTTTCGGGCGGGCTGCAGTACAACGTGCGCGAGGTGCCCGTCTTTGTCCTGATGGGCGTGGCCGGCGGGCTGCTCGGCGCCCTCTTCAACGCCATCAACGGCGCCATCAACCGCGCCCGCGCCCGCCTCTACTCTGGCGCGCCGCTGCAGCGGCTGCTCGCCCGCTGGCCCTCCCTCGCCCGCTCGGCCGCGGCGCAGCGGCTCCTCTCCTTCCTCGCGGCCGGCCGGCGGCTGCGCGTGCTCGAGGCTCCCCCCCCCCCTCCCGCCGCCACGAAGCGGGAAAATGCCCCCCTCCCTCCCTCGCCCGCCGCCCTC